ACACACCCTAAAGAGGAAGTCCATGGCTACTTCTTTGAATTCCGTTCTGGGCTTTCCCTCAACCGTATGTCACCTCCTTCTCTTTATTTCCTTGTAAATTCATTGCTTCAATTCAATGGAACATAAATTGCTTTGCTCATATACTAACGGTTAATTGATTGCTGCGCTGCTGATTTTATCGCACAGAGGGACAATTTATTAGATTAGAATCCGTTAGAAATTCTCTCTACAGCTTGCTTAGTTGAATAATAGGAACATCTAGGTGCTATTTCCAGTTACTGGTGTGGTATAGCTACTTTGAAAAGCATAAAAGAGATAAGAGTGAAGATAAAAGGATGTTCGAGAAGCCCCAAGTGATTCTCTTACCAAAAGGGGGAAAATAACTATTATAATTGAGAGAAAAGAGAGGTAAGGAGACTTAAAATCAGTTTAAGGACAATTATCAATAAGTTTTGACATGAGATAGTGAAATCAAAGAGAGATGGAGAGGCTATTTTGATCCATTGGTTAACTCAAATCATGAGGACAACTTTAAAGATGGATACATCTGTTTAACAGAGCCTTGCTACTCTCTCTCTTAGAATTAGATTTTCACAAGTGGTAAATGCTATGAATATGAGGATTAGCATACTTGTGGTCCATATGGTATTCTTATATATACAGGTTAGGGAATGATTTGATAGCTAGGATTAATACGGTTTATCAAGCTATTCATAATTATATTAGTAGTTGGAAGATGCCAAATAAGTGGAAATGAAGTAGCTTGTTTCGATATATGAGAACAAATGATCTGCTTAAATTTCTATTAGCTGTCTGGTATTAACTTAATGAGTCATAGAATGAATCATTGGAAAAAAGTGAAAGAAAATAGGCTTATGGGCATTAATAAAGGTCATAGAAAACCAGTTTGGATTTATGCCTTTTAAATCCACGGCGGAAGCTATATTTTTGTTCCGAAATGAAGAAAGTTCACAATGAAAGAATGAATTATCTCCTTGTGATATTCATTGAGGTACAACATATGATAAAATGTCAAGAAAAGTTCTTTCGTGGGTGCTGAAGATAAGTGAATTCCCATCAGATACATAAGTTTTGGATATATCAGAGGAGCCATCACACATGTAAGAACAAGGGGAGGAGATATATAGTAGTTTTCCATATCTTTGGTTTTACACCAGGAACTGCTCTAGTCTATACCTTTTCTTTATCCTAGTTACGGATTATCAGGCCAATTATATACAATATGGTGTCATAGTGTATGCTATTTGTAGACAATGTTGTGTTGATGACGCTAGTTGAGAAGAACTTGAACTGTGGAGAAGCAACGCAGAGAGCAAGAATTTTAATATAAGTAAGATAAATAATAAGCAATACAAGTTTAGCCAACGTCTGAAGAATGAGGTTCAGGTGATATTAGTTTATATTGCGATGCCTAAATGCAAATATTTCTGATATCTACACTCAAGTCTTTGAGGAGATCAATATGATAGATTAATACACACACAATTAAAATACGCTGGTTAAGTGGAGGATTTGAATAAGAGCTGTGTGCGATAGGAGCACCTTACCAAAGTAAAAGGCTAGTTTCATATAGTTGTGGAACCAACAATATTATATCAGAGAGAATGTTGGCCCCTAAGGCCCAATGTATCAACTAGTTAGGTATCATAGAAAACATAGATGCTAGGAGATGTGAGATCAAACAAGATTGAAAATGATTACATCCGATAGTTTGTGCAAGTAACATATAGAGAACAAAGAAGAAGGAAGTTGTTTGAGATGGATTGATCATGTTTTATGTAGACCTCTAATGCTCTGGTAAGTAACTGTGACTCCATGATAGTTGTGTTATAATGTGACGTGGTAAATCTGAAATGACCTGAAGGAAGTTGTCTCCAATTAAATGTAATTTCTAGAATCAATGTAAGCTCAGTAAATAGCAGGATAAAGTAAAAGCGAAATGCCCATATTGGCAACACTAACTAGCTGGGGTTAAGAGTAATCGTTATTGACGTACTTACATTAGGTCCAATATTTGACACGAGTCTTTCTAGTTTTTGGTTAGAGATTGTATGACAGCTTTGGGGGATGTGTGTGAGAGTAGTTTAATTTGTCCTATCCTAAAACAAAAGGTACTGGAATAAATATGGATTATTCATATAGCGACCTCAAGTAGTTTGTGATTAAGGGTTGCCATTTTTATCTAGATGGAGAGTTATGCTCACAGTTCTTGATTCATGAATTTGGTGTTATTTGTCTCCGTGATTTATTTGTTTCTTCTTAATGAAAGCTACAGGCAAACTACTGGAATCTATCTAGGAGTGCCTCTCTGCAGAAGGTTGCGCACTTCCCATCTTCCTTTCAGATGCGGGGGTTAAGAAGATGTGTGCCAGTTACTAGACATAATTTCTTTATTTTAGTTGCTAAAAGTGATCGTCTTGAAACGGAAGTTAGTGATAAGGACTCTGGAAATGCTGAAAGCTCATACTCTGAAGCTATTACATCAACTGTGAATACATCATCCTATGAATCTTCTAAAACAGAGGGGGAAGTGCAGCCCATTGGTCAAACTGAGTCGGCCGTGCAAGAAGCCGAAGTTTCAAATGGGTCTGCATCTTCTGCGAACTTGGAAGAGGAAGCATCTTCCTCCAGTCTAAAACCAACCTTGAAGAGATCTCCATTGACAGCAAGAGAGAAACTTAGGGCAGCCAGGGTTCTCAGCCGGTACAATGAATCAAAGACCTCTAAACCTCAGATGGGAAGCAAACTAATTGAGGCCCTACGAGAAAGTGAGAAGGGGAAAATGAGATCTGGACTTCCAGAGGCGCCTACAAATCTGTTTGATGATAGCAAAAGAGGGATGCCAAAACCAGGATGGACTTTTGAGTTTCCAGGAGGAATTGATGTCTTTCTTGTTGTATTTTCATTTGTATTCATCAGCACAGTTATGTTTGCTACAACATACATTGTGTGGAAAGTTGGTGCTATCCATTTCAACGAGTACTGAGGTAGATGGTCATCGTATATCCAGTTTCCTTGGGTTTTCAGGACATGGTACTGGTCTAGCCAGCAGCCATCCACTAGCACCCGAGATGAGCAGAGTTTTGTGTACAACATATGCTTTCTTTATCATGGCTAAGAATTATACTTTTTGCGCCAGTTTAATGAATCCGAAGATCTCAGGTGGACGGTGAGTAGGGATGGCCGTGTATAGTTGAATACAAAAATGCAGCTCTTCAACACTATATTATGGAACTGTCTTATTGCCTTATATTTGGTTTATGATTTTGATTGATCAAGTTAAATGTACAGTATCTTTGCTTGTTTAAGTAGGAGTTCTTGTGCTTGTACTGCGTTGCAACGAGTGTCTGTCTGCACATTCATGATAACTTTCAACCATCTTTACGGTTGGATTGACGTTTTACATGAGAGAATAAGGATCATTCTGAATTTCCTTGCATGTGCATCCAATTTGTGTCACTATTGTAGGCGTTGTACTTGAGTATCTCTACAGATTTTGTATATACATTCTCCGTGTCACCGACAAGAATACAGGATAACTGAACACATATCAATGGGACCAAGATAAGAGAAAAAATGAAAAAATGACAACAAAATAGCAAAGTAGCAGCGTACCTACCAAAAATTTAGAGGAAAAATGTAGCAAGGAAGATAGGAAGACCACACATTCAATAAGATAAATATAAAGGTTGCAGGGAAGGGGAAATGGTAGATTGCTAGTCTTATCAAATCTTGTATACCCTCTTTATGGTTGAAGTTACAACAGGCAGAGTTATTGTGACCCTATCTATACCATGGAATTATGGGTGATTGCCAGTTAACCTCTTTTGTCCTCTTGTGCAAGGACAATTTTATTCAAACTTCCTCTTTTTTTTTGAAGTATAGAAAAATATCTAATCTGCTTATTCTTAATCATCTCTAATTCCCTAAATCCATCAAGCAAATGTTGATTTAACCTTTTAGAGAGATTGAAAATATTTTAAAATTTGGTGCAAATTATTAGTTTTATATTAGAATTATTGATTGTCTTAAAAATACATTTTTACTTGACTAACTGAATTTAATTACATTCCTAATTTTACAATATGAGTGAAATACATCCCTAGATTCTTGTAAAGTTTATGAGTGTTTTTAACACTTCTCTTGATTTTTTATTAAGAGTTTCATGCTCCTACAAGAGATTGAGACCACTTGTTATGTCATGTGACAGATTGAGAGTGTATATAAGTTTAATTAATCAAATAAATGATATTTTTAAAGCTGTCAATAATTCAAAAATGAAACTAATAATTTACCTCAAATTCAGATGTGTTTTCTCGACAATTTAATTAGTTAGTGATCGAGTGGTTGAAAAATCTGGGCCAATTTCTTTGTGCAAAAAAAGGCCTTTCTCAAGTGTGAATCTTGCTTTTGCCTATCCAATCTTGGAAAATTAATCTTTGACATTATGGTTCATACTTATCCATTAATGTCAAATTAATCATGACATTTTGATTTAACCTTATTATACAATAATGGCAAATTAATCATGATATATTAATTTATTTTTATTCATTATTAAAAATCCATTAATCTAATTCTCATGGGCAGATCTTAAACCCTATGCACCCGATTCAACAAAAATCATTACGTCCAGCTCAAACAACAGATAAATAGAGTCAAAATCATAATTTTAAATTTTAAATCCCCCTTTGCCGGAGGCTAGTATAACCAAATAAAATCCAAATCAGCAGTAGGTGAGTCAGCAAATGGCCATGTTCTTTTTCTACCTTATATATATAGTGGCCTAGAAGTGTAAATGCCTTGGACATTTAAGATCCTATATCTATCAAAGATTTCTGTTGTCAAAGGAATCCAGGAAAAAAATTGTGAAGTTGAATTGACATTGCCAATTTGTCATAATTGATAAAATCCAAATAAGATTTTCACATGACCAGTTAGACCAATCAGCATCACTCATTGAACATCACGCGTAAGTACAACAGTGACATCCAATTACTTGTAATGTTCTTTAAAAGATTTAAGAGTATCAATTTCATTTAGATTGAGAAATAGAAAAAAGTAACAGAAAATTGATGGAGAATTCATTTTGTTCAGAATATTGGCCTGAAAATCAAGATTCAGTTTATTTACTGCCACAGGTTCCTTGTTATTTCCCTCAAATTCAATGCTCTCATGAATCCTTCCAAGAGAGAAGAGAAAGTGCTTCTAGGAGCCATAGTGAAGCTGAAAAAAGACGCAGAGACAGAATTAATGCTCAGCTTTCTACTCTCAGAAAACTCATTCCTACTTCTGAAAAGGTAAATATACACTGACTGAATTACTGATATTCAATTCTATACATCGACAATCTAAATAATTTATAGTACAATATAAGTGTAGTTACTAGTCATAGCAGGTAATTTGATTACTTGTCTTATTTTCTACGTCACTTAATTCATGTGTACAAGTAGACATTTAAATTTATATAAAGTTGAATAAGTAGACCTACGTGAATTGCCACATAAGATTCCAAGTTTACTTATTCAACCATATACAAGTTTAAATATTTATTTATGCACATTTAAAGTTGGAAGACATAGATATTAGATGACATGATTACCGGATTAATGACTGTGAGCCCTCTTTGAAGCAGATGGATAAGGCAGCTCTATTAGGAAGTGTAGTTGATCATGTTAAGGATCTCAAAGGAAAAACAGCAGAAATCAGCAAAGTGTTAAACACTCCAACTGACACTGATGAAGTAACAATTGAGCATTTAAATGAGGAAGAAGAAAACAAAGGGTGCCTTCTTAAGGCCTCTTTTTGTTGCGATGATCGACCTGAATTATTCTCAGAGCTACAACGGGGGATTAAGAATCTGAAATTAAGAGTGATGGGGGCTGATATAACTAGTTTGGGTGGGAGAATTAAAGGTGTTTTTATGCTCTGTCCTAATGAGAATTCTGCAAATGATGTTTGCATGAATTCTCTCAAACGGTCACTCAGAGTTGTCCTCTCTAGAATTGCTATATCCCCTTCTACATCAAATTACAGAATTAAAAGCAAGAGGCAGAGGTTCTTCTTGCCTGCTCACTTTTCTTAATTTCCTCTTTTTTTGTAAAATAATCACCAATTATTCATGAAGTTTCACGGAAGACAGGACTATAAATCTGATTCGAAGTTGAAATTTTGTTTTGACATGCCATTTGAATTTTTAGGTTGTATTTTTTCCCCCTTCATCTATGGACCTGAAATCTCCACAATTTGTAAAAATTATTACAACGTAAAACTTTTATACAATTTTTACCAAGTGAACAAATTATAGTTTATAAATAAGGTATGAGATTATCCGAAAGATTGTGCATTAATAAATCGTATATCTTCATGTAGAGGCAAATCTAGCATTTCTTTATTTGAATTTTTAGGTTTTATTTTTGTTATTGTATTTTTGTTATATATAGACATGAAGTCTCCATAATTTGTAAACATTATTAAAACTTCCTCAACTTTTATACGATTTTTACCAAATGAACAAATTATAGTTTATAAATAAGGTATCTGATTATCCTAGAGGTTGTGCATTAATGAATAGTATATATTCATGCAGAGGCGAAAGTAGGAATTGATCCAAACATGGTGCACCAAGAAAAATGTAACAAGTGGGAATTGATCTTTAAGTCCTCAAGGTCAAAAGCTCAACATTTAACCATATGAACCAGTTAGACTTCTTATAGTATGAGTGTCAAAATATAATATTATACAAATTTTAGAAAATATATACATAAAATATCTAGTTTTACGAAGAAACCACGGGTTTTGATGTCCTATTTTTTGCCTTTAAATTCGCCACTGTCTTCATGTGTCTTTTATAAATAATTGTTGGGTTTTAAAAGGTGTGAATGGAAAATGAAGAGTAACGACTTTTATAAAGAGTTGTGATTTTTACGAAGAGTTTAGACTTTTATGAAGAGTTGTGACTTTTATGAAAAGTTGCGTTTTTTATGAAAAGTTGTGACTTATGAAAGGTTGTAACCTTTTTGAAAGATTGTGACTTTTCCAAAGGGTTGTGACATTTCCGGTAAGGCACAATAAGAACCTTTTTCACACTACCCTGTTTTCTATAAATTAAGGGATTTCCTCTCATTTTAAGATAATGAGTTTTCTTGATTTCTTCTATTACTATTAAATCTAGTATTCTAAGTGTACTTTACTGTCATTGAGTGGTTCACTGACACTGTGATTTTAGGTACCGATACACCGACGAGTAAGATCGTTCTATCCTGGGAGGATATATTCCATTAACCTCGGATACTTGAGGGGAATAATTTCCTTAAGGGGACACTGTGCATTCAGTGGGCTCGATTTTCTTTCTTTGAGAAAAATATTGTGTATATTGTTTCTAATCTGTTTTTGATTCTTTTTTCTCTACTAGTTTTAATTTTCTAGTTCTGAAAATACTCTTTAAACTTTGTTGTTTCTTATCAAGTTCTTCAAAGTTTTGTTCTAAGTATCTTAGGAATATAAGATGAACAACAATCTTAAGGAAATTACTATACTATTGATATTTCTTGTATTCTACTGATTGAGAGAAACAAATCATGGAAGTAGAAGATTAATGCACTACTTCTTCAGAACTAAATGCCTTGTTTAGAAAGGTCGAAGTGAGAATGTACCAGAAAAATTGGTGATATTCCGGTTGAAGATTACACCAGGTAACCTTCTTATTATTAATCTAAGGAGGAAAATATTTTCTAAAAGTTAACTCTTTTGACATTTATCATATGCCTTTGGAAAACGATCTGCAAAACATATGTTTTTGAATGAATTTTCCTTGGCAAATAGTTTTGACTTTAAAATTCTTTAGTTTGCTGAGATATTCATATTTTAGTTTGATAAAATAGTATGTCAAAATGTATAGTTGAAAGGCTAGTTGAAAAGAAAAGCATATCTATGTGATAATCTAAGAATATGTTTTATTCTATTTGGAGACAACAAAAAAAGAAATAAAAACTTTTGTAGTTTTGTACTCCATGTGAAATTTTATTGTGTCTGATTTTTGTAGACTAAAAACTTTTGTAGTTTTCTACTCTGGATTAATTAGACTATGCAATTGGTTTGAAGAATTTAAAACCTTCACATAATAAGTCAGTGTTGTACTTTTGATTTTCTATAAACTTCACTGTTATATAGAAACAAATTGTACAATTTTTTTTGTCTTTACTGTTAGTATTCTAATTACTAAGTGGTATGTTTATTTGTGATAGAGGAAAAATACCAGTGACTTAGAATTTATGATTTTGTGCCTCTATGGAATGAACTTTGACGTTGTGTAAAGATTGTCAAAGGGAATTGAAGCACTATAATTCTTTTGTAGAATAATAATTTCAAAAGAGGTTTCATGTTGCCAATGACATTTTGATAGCATGAGAAAAAATATGTGAAAAAACTATTTTCAAATATTTGAAATATATTTTTGAGATCATATTTAAAATGTGGTGGTTCTTTGCTTATGCTAAAGATAAAATTAGACTTAGTGTCTAAATTTAAATTTGAAACGCAAGATATGAAATTTAATGATACTGTTGTATTATGTTAGACCCACAAAATTCTTGGAGTATATTTGATATTGTGGTTAATGAGTTTCTCTTTTACTAGTATATGATATGACTAGTATGAAACTACCAAATTATATATATACTTGTTCAAAATAATTATGTTCTTTTATGAAAGAGTATCACTTAAAATCTTGTGATTTTTCATGAAAAGATATGTCTATTAAAATATAACTATTTGTATAGACATGAAAATTGGTGAATAGTCATTTGTCATGTTTTGTAAAAGAAGCATTTGGACTATATTGCCTTTATTGGACCCGATGAAATTATGTTCATGGGTAGTTCTATAACAATCAAATTGAAAGTTATGGAAAAGTCCTTCTGAAAAGGACATTTGACAAGGTGCTGACTCTAAACAATGTTTGTATCACACAAAATTGTAAGAAGTAGGAACAAAATATTTGTGAGAAAAAGCTACCTCACGGAGAGCTGTTCAAACTCAATATTTTTATTTGTTCTTACTTGCTTGAGTCAAACTGTTTGTGACATGAACACTTGGGACATGTCAACTACAAAACATTGTAAGGAAACTGATCAACTTAGAAGTTTTGTCTAACTTTGAGTGCAATAAATAAAAATGTCAAGTTTGTGTTGAATCTAAGTATGCCAAGCATTCTTATAAATCTGTTGAAAGGAATTCTAATCCCTTAGAGTGATTTACATTGATATTTTTGATATGAAGTCAATACCATCTCGTGGTAGGAAAAAGTATCTCATAACTTTTATTGACAATTGCATTTGATACGGTTATAGCTATTTGCTGAATGGTAAGGATGAATCAATAGAAACATCTAGGCAATATAAAATTGAAGTTGAAATCAGTTGGGAAAAAGATAAGAAGTGATAGGGATGGAGGATATAAATCTCCTTTTGCAGAAATATGTTTGGAAAGTGGATTTATCCATCAAATTACTGCCCTATTCACCTCAATCTAATGGAATTGCAGAATGAAAAAAAACTGGAGAAGCTATCCTTACAGCAAAAAGGAACAACAAAAAATTTGGTCTTTTCAGAAAAAAAGCAATAAAAAGTTTTGTTTGTTCAGGACACAATCTATTCCATATGAGAAATGGTAAGGAAGGAAATCCAACTTGAAATATTTCAAAGTGTGGGGTTTTTAGCCAAAGTCCAAGTTCCTATTCCTAAAAAGGATTAAAATAGGACCTAAGACTGTGGACTATAAAATTAGACTTGAGTAGTCTAGTGAAGGGTCTAAAAAACCTTGGAAAGAACAAAGGGAGAATGTACTTAATAAAGAGATTCAGAGGCGTAGTAAATGTCAAAGGACATTTACTTTCTTCGAATCTGAGTTTGTAACATTTCATATGTCTTATGTGGACTCATCCTTTTGGAAATATGGTGTCAATAGTGAGATTTGTTCAATCTTGAGCAATTCTATTGAAAGTTGGTTGATCTTTCTCGAGGAAATAAACCTTTGGGTTCAAAGTGAATCTTCAGAAGGAAAATGAAAGTCGATGAAACTGTTGACAAATATAAAGCAAGACTTTGTGTCAAAGACTTTAGACAAAAGATCTTGATCTTGTTGACACATACTCGTCAGTAACTAGAATTTACATTCATTTGAATGTTAATATTATTAGTTGCGGTATATGACCTCCAAATTCATCAAATGAATGTGAAAACAACTTTCTTAAATGGAGAATTGGAGGAAGAAATTTACATGGAACAACCCAAGGGTTTTGTGGTTCCTGGTAATGAAAAGAAAGTGTGTGAACTTGTTAAGTCACTTTATGGACTAAAACAAGCACCCAAACAATGACATAAGAAATTATATTTTACCAAACTATGTTGGTAAATGGATTTAAGAATGATGGAAGTGATAAATGTGTTTACATTAAAATCACAAGGTCATTGTTTGTTTGTATATTGGTGATATGTTGATCACAGTAGAGACACTAATGACATAAATGCTACTAAACATATGCTAGAAAGCAACTTTGATATGAAACATCTTGGAGTTGCTGATGTGATCTTAGGTATAAGAATCCTTAGAACTCCATAATGTTTAGCATTGTCACGGTCTCATTACATTGAAAAGGTACTTGACTAGTTCAAATACTTGAATTTTAATATTGTCAAGACTCCAATAATGTGAGCTTTGCACTTCAAAAGAATGAAGGTGAAAGTGACTCATAGTTGGATTATGCTAGAGTATTGGGAAGTATGATGTATATCACGAAGTGTGCGCGATTAGATATAGCATGTGCTATTAATGAACTGAGTCGGTTTACGAGTGATCCCAATCGAACTCATTAGATGACAATGAAAAGAGTTTTGAGGTATGTAAAACATACTCAAAACTATGTGTTGCATTATAACAATATCCAACAGTATTGAAAAGATATAGTTGTGCAAATTGGATCACCGGGATCAAATGAAGTGAAATCCACGAGTGAATATGTATTTACTCTTGGTGGGGGAGCAGTCTCTTGAAAATCTTCCAAAAATACATGTATCGCTAGCTCTACAATGATCTTTGAGCTAGGTGCTCTAGATAAGGCCGATGAATAAGTTGAAAGACTCTGGAATTTCTTGAGAGATATTCTTTTTTGGCCCAAACCT